CAGATTAGGGCTTGCGGCGTGTGATATGAACGCAAGCGGCGGATATAATATAGAACGTGGTTCAGGTTCATTGCAACATTCTGTGAGACTCACATGACACTTTCTTCATGACATAGACGAGTATATTGTATTCTCAAATGGGAAGTGCACATGTACGTCGAAAACCCTAAACTGAAGTGCAATGACAAAATGCGGGAAGTAAAAAAACGTTTCCCGGTTCCCAGAGGATAAAATTTTAATAAGACGGAACTGAAAGGATAATTTTGTAAATTTTGCCTATGAACTGGGATTTATAAGAGCATAAGAAGTTGGCGGCATATGTTCTAAATATTAATTTTTTTAATGAGTGTCAGTTTTGCTGCCAACCGAAAAGCGATGCGTTTAGCAGCCGAAACTCTCGCACGTACTATGCGTAGTCTCTTAGGCCCCCTGCACTCTCCTTTTCAAGAGGTCCAAAGTAAGTTTGGATAAGCAAAAGTTGACCAGCCTGATGTTGGCCTCTGTGCATCCCTTCAAGGACACAGTTAGCAGTACGCAGGAATTCAAACTCCGAAATAAAACCTGAGATGGGAAAATAGAGCGAACCACCCTGGTAGACCCTCTCTTCACTTCTCCCAGTCGTATTATCAGGGGCGTTTTGTTGCATTTTTTCCGGTACATTCTACTCTGATTCATCTTGTCGTGAATTTGAAGGAGCGCTGGTCCATAAAGCGTGTGAGCTAACGCAGGATGCCGTCAATCAGCCTCACGTGACCCCATTATCAGACTCATCGGCGAGCGGAATGACGCAGGATGCTGTGAATATGCTAGCGATAAATGAAAAAAAAGTCTGGCCCTGTGTGCGCGGGTCAGGTAGCGGTGACGGGCCTTGGCATGGATTCCTGCCATGCCATGCGCCGGATCTTTTCTCCGGTCCTCTTGACTCTGTTATGACAGCGGGCCCACGTGTGTGAGAAGAGAGTGTGGTAACTGAAGCGAAAGTCTGCTTTCACCAGAAATTACTCTACGCCTAAGTCACCGTCTTCGCGGCCATCC